AAACAGTGTCGACCAAGAGAAGAGGAAGACGAATGTCTATAAATATGTGCCTTCGGTCGTTGTTCCATGAAAAAGTTTTCTGCCCGCATTCTGAATGGCTGTCGTGAGATTGTGTAAAAAAAAAACATGGCGATAAAGCTCGACTCCTAATGGGCACAGTGTCTTTTCCATAACGAGCTACCTAGAAATGGTACATAAAGTAAGAGACTTCGTGATGAAACTTCGTTGCAACTCGCCATCATTTACACGACTTCTGTGAAGTATCAAATCACATTTGTCCCATAAATGGTGAGTCCCTTTTGTAGACAGTGTACCATTATGAAGTATACAGATCGCTGTCTTCTGGCTAGCCGGATTTAAATAATTACGCCAAAGATTTCTAGACAGGTTTTTGACGTAAATACGTCTATAAGGAACGGTCATTCGGCGAAAAAGTGTAACGAAAATGTGTAAGATCCGATAACAATGGTTACCTAGGGAACGTCGTCTTTAATCGTCATTGTTGTTACCTACGAAACGTTTCCTAGGTAACCATTGTTATCGGATCTTAACACATTTTCGTTACACTTTTTCGCCGAATGACCGTTCCTTATAGACGTATTTACGTTAAAAAAAACAACGTTCTAAAATCCACAAGCAATTTAAAATTTTCAGACCTAATCAGTTTTATATTGATATCGACAGATATTTTCATATATTTCAACGATATCATAACCAAATTCCTGATTCCATGACAGCCGGAAGGACAATTTTGCTGTCTTAATACAGCACTGCTTCCTGATAATTACAAATCAATAAAATTCTTACCCATCGCTTGCAAGTCGTGTTCTTAAATTATTCCTACAGCGCTATGTCGCCAGTGTGAAAATAATCTGGTAATTAATGAGAAGTAACGTTATTGATGCAATATATTGTATGAGATTGGTGAGTAACCCGAAAACGACTCCTTCATAAAAGCTCAATATATATTTCACTAAATTCCATTTAATTACATCCGCGAAGCATTGCCTTAAATACCCACTGCCTTACAGAAACAGATAATACTCGTCCTCATGATCAGTTTAAAAAATTAGAAAACCAAAACCAAAAACTACTATAAGGTGTGAGAAAAGCGATTGAAAGAATAAGTTTTCTAAACAAGTCATACAACCCTGAAGATGGATGGAATAGTTTCCTCGAAGACTTTTAAAAGTACATGTTCCATAAAATTATATCCAAACATCACACGATTCCATTTTTATATACCCAAGTAATGTATTGTTTCTTTAATGTAGTATTGAGGTTATGAAGCTCATAGATTTGACCATTGTATCCGAAAATAACACCACATTTTATAATTATCTTGAATAACACACTTGAAATTTCAGTGAATAATCTATAAACGCGTAAACAAGCTTTAATTATTTTATTAAGTTTCTACAAAATAAACAGCTTTCTCTATTTGAATGTTTCTATTCTTAAATTAACTTCGTAGCAACTGACAAAATGTCTTTACCATAAAAAGCGATGAATCAAAAGGTAACTTTAAGTCGATCGCTTTGAATGGAAGGTGGAGCCTACTTGTAGTGTGAGACAGAAAACCTGTCACAGACCACGATGTCTGCTCAAGTAATGCCAAGGTCACAACCACAGTCCACTGCTTTCCAACGGATTCAAGTTTCTGTTATTAAACAAGCGAGACCGGAATAAATAATATCGTTTGTTTGGATCAAATGATATCGGATACCCTGAAAGAGATGATCGTAATTTTTCCACAGAACCCCCATGGCAAATTCGTACATAATATCTCAAATTATGACACTACTTCTTAGTGATAGGCTTATATAATTAACTTACCTAACTTATCTAAACCTAACTCAAAACGCAACCTAATCCAATGAAAATTATCACAATCAAACTGAAACGAATCCAAAATAACAGACCCGCATAGGATCAAACCCTCCACAGCTTTAGGACTTCCAAATAACCTTCCAGGACTTCTCCAGCAATTCTCAATGACAAAAAAATTTCCGTATAACGTTTCCAGGACTCTCCGACACTAATCTAGGACTTTTCCAGGATATCTCCGGGAATTTTCCTGGATATCTCCAGGATTATTTAGGTTATCCCCACGACCACCTGATGAACACGATAGAAATTCTCCAAGACAACCCAACCCATCGTAAAACAACAACTTTACGTAACCTACCTTTAAGCTATTCATAAATTACTGAAGGACACTTTCAAGACAAATATTAAATCGAAAGCTTAACATTTCAGAAAATGACATATAATTAACATAAAAGTAAATAAAGATGGAATTCTTTGTGTGTGCCATTAACAGTGCTATGCTAAAAATGTAATGTGCTTGTCGGCTGTAAAATCGCTCTTTAGTCCGGGCGGGGATTACAAGTTCAGTCACCCTGTCAAAACATACTCAACAAGGGGGAATGACCCATTGCATTAAACCTGTTATGAAATATCAATACTGACCTCGTTTCCGTTACATCAAATTCTAGACGAAGTCGCTCACACTAAACACACAAACGTAACTCAGAATCGAACTATGTACTTCAGTGGCTCACCTTCCTTTGCAGCCGAAGTGTTTCTGCTGCCAACATACATTTTTGAAATTTGTCATCCTGCATGCTGGAACAAAACGTAATACATATTACTCATTTATATGTATTATATATTTTTATTAATCTTTAATAAATATACGGGAGACTAACCTAAAACGACATAACTGAGTAAAATTATACCCCTGTGTTACTGGCAAATGCAAACCTGGAATTATTTTACGTTTCGCACCTTACGTTTGTCACGTTGGTACTCAACTCCAGTGAAAGATGGCGTGCTGACAGAGCGCGGTTTTCAAGATTTGTGTAAAAGTGTATGTTTTTTTTTGGCGTTTCTCTTACAGTTTAATAAGAACATTTGCAGTCTAAGATTTGTGATCAGGTTTTTGAAATTGATAACCAATTAGGACTTTTTAAGTAAACCATAATTAACATAGTTGCTTCGATTAGTTTTTTCTTGTTTTTAGATTATAGTTTGTAAGACAAGTGCAGCCAACTTTGAGTTAATGAGAAACACCAGTTTTGTGTGTGAATTCTGTACACAGACATAATAGCATAGCGTTAAGAAAAATGCCCGTAGGGAAACTAGTTGCGTATGCAACAGACATTTTCTATACTAAAGCGTTACAGAAAGCTTGCAGTAATACATGCGGAGGTCAATGCCAATGTGTTAAACGGGTTTCTATTTATAGTACCGCATTTTAGGCCGTTCACTCGGCGTTTGCCTACTGTTTGCTTTTGCACGACGTGGTAGGACTGATTCTTGCACGTGCTGGTGCTGAATATTGACGATTGGGAAGAACGTAATTTCGCAGCTTTCGTAAATTTGATCTCAAAATTTAATTTATACATACGTCAAGGTACACGACCTTTTGATAGCTTCTGTTTGCTCAAAATTTCAATTATCTTACAGAAATCTGGGGCGGTTTGTTAGAAATAAAATAATTAACGATGGTAATTGAGGAAATGTTACATTGATCCAGTAGTTGATATGTAGTTATTATTGTATGGAATTAAGGCTGAAAATAAAATACATTGGTTACATTTAGGGAGTGATATTTATTAGTTACAAATTGGGAGGTATGGGTGGTTATTGGCTGTGGCGAATTAAAAAGTTATTTTCTGGAATTTATGTGGAGGGACTGATGAACAGCATGGTCATGAACATTTGGTCCAGTCTTTATTCTGAATGGATACTTTCAGTTTATGAACCACACACATTAAGGTATAATTAGGCTAACCTCTGTGGAATGTTCTGCGTTGAATATTATTTAGACACTGATGTTATTTCGAAAGTGGCATCTTGTCCTTACTTAACTTACCAGAATTGGTCTGGGGATACATTTTCTGATACTCCTGTTCTGAAAAAATCGACAATGGAGAATATCCTGTTTGGTGAACTGTTGATATAATATTGTTTTTGTATTTCTGATTTCAATGTAATTTATTTTTATGGAGAATATCCTGTTTGGTGAACCGTTGATATAATATTGTTTTTGTATTTATGATTTCAATGTAATTTATTTTTTGACAAACAAAACATGTGTCAGTAATGGGCTGCGCTTCTTTTGGACATTCTGTACACATTACATGAGCATTAGCTGGGACTGCTCGAGCAACCATGAGAAAGTTTAAGACAACTTCCTCGTGGACTGAGATTTCAGTTTTCATTAAGCTTGCAGCAAGATATAAAAATGTTGTGCTTAATAAACAAAAGAATAAAACTATTTACATTTTGTTCACTTCATTTCGCTTATGGTGTGTATAAAAATGTAAAACGCCTTCAGTTGTTTATGCAAAATATATTCATATGCCCCTTGCACGTCTTCTAGTGACATATCTTTATTGTTCTCCTGTATGAACACTCTCGGCTAGTATAACATTACAATACTCTGATGAAAATGGTTGTTCTATTTCCTTACATAAGTAGGTTTCATCTACATAATGCTTTTGCTTGTATAATGTATGAGGTCTGATATGAGCATTGTCATTTCAACATTTTGCCATAGATTAGCAAAGCAGTATATAAAATTTTAATTAAGTGTCTGTCTGTGTGATGTCTCAAAAATGATCTCACATTTATTTAAGGACACATTTTGTGTTCAGAGCACATAATATTCAATATTATGTGTACACTTTTTTCTACTATTTGTACAAAACATGCTAATTCAGTCCAATGCTTTAATTTATGTCAGATCTAGTGAACATACAAATATTACCAACCTTTAGCAATGAGCAATGAATGATAAGCAACCTAAATTGACCTTAGATTTTGGCAAATAGACTTTAGGTCTTTCTCTAGCATTCATTTACCAATACAAATCCCCTGAGTTAATCATAATGATGTAATGTTTGTGCTAAATATTATTTACATTTTCATGCAGGTAATGACAATTCAGCCTGAGTACTTTTCTGTCATGTTGTGTCTCGCTGTTCCTTCAGGGCCGCAACATGAGTCGGCAGGGGCAGCCAGCACAACCGCAAGCACAGCACCTGACAAACCCCTGTCAACCGCGTGGCAGGCAGCGCTTGGGGCTACAGCAATGAGTGCAAACAAGAAGCGGCCAGTACGTCGTGGGGGGAAACCTCCCCCTGACCGGCCTCAGAGAGCACTTTTCTGCCTGCCTCTCAAGAATCCCATCCGGAAAATATGTATCGACATCGTAGAGTGGAAGTATCCTTTCACTGTATAATCATTAGAGTTTAAATTCACAAATGGGCCTTGTCGTAGGTGTAGAAATTTTAATATAAATGTGCTAAATGTTTTTAAATTAAATATCTGTAATTTTTTTAATTAATTGCAGTAGGTTGTAAGTATCATTTGAAATATATCTGTCGATTTCAAAATTTGCTTTCAATAAGTAAATGGATTTTAATTTCACATTATCATATTCTAATAGTTAATTTTATCCTCATAATGTACCAAAGCAATCACAAATTATTACATTGCTTATCCATACTTGAAAATTGGCAATTACCATTACTTTCATGACAAAATGCAATATAAATCAGTACTTTTATGGAAACTCACATAGGTCTTGTTCAGTGTGGTAGGAGCAGGTTACGAGAAATTGGCCTGCATGTTAGAAGCAGTGAAGTCATGTGGATAAGCTTGGAGTTGAATGATCACTACAACTGGCACTTTGCCCGCATCTAATTTTGGCATCCATGAAGCATATAGTGGGCTTGTGTTAACAAGGGAAGGCAAAAACAAAAAATAACGTGGTGTTAGCATTTAGCATAGTTTCAAGTTCGCTGATATTTTATTAACCATTGTCTATGTCTTTAATCAAGATTCTTCTTCTTCTATGGCTCTCCGGTCCGTATTCGGTCCATGGCCTCCTCAATTATCTTCCGTCCGGTCCTCTGTTAGGTCCGTCTGTCCGAGGGTTCGATTGAGGTTTCAAAACATCTTCCTTTTTACGGTGCAAGGTTGTTAGCCTTGCGACCAACCCCCAACCTGGAGGACCAGGGTACATGTCTTAGTCTGACCTCTCCCCCTCAACCAATCTGGCTAGGGAGGCCCTACCAGTAGCCATGCTACCACCAGCATAGCTCTTGGGGTCACTGAGGTACTCAAGCCCCACCACCACGACAAGGTGCAGGTACCATTAAGTGAGGGGAATATTTAAATGCATTTTTAAATGTGTACATATATAGGAATTTGTTTTATCTGTCCTTAACAAAAATTTTCAGACCATTTGAGTACCTGATTCTGTTGACCATCTTTGCCAATTGTGTGGCCTTGGCTGTGTACACACCCTACCCAAACAGTGACTCCAATAGCACAAACCTTTATTTGGTAAGTTATGTTGTATGTCTTGTGTTTCAGTAACTACATTCAGCGATGTCCAAGATTTTAACTACAGACATTCTATTAAGCACACAAAATTTATATTTTATGACCTATATGTGTGTGTATCAAAAAAACAAGTGCATGATTTGTCCTTTGAAATATTATTGCACTAAAGATCATCTTAACAGATGAGTTATTCTTACAGCAATTTATTCTGTTCACTTGTTATAATTAATTTTATGATCAATTTTATTTTTCTCGACTAACAGTGGAAGTATTATCGAGCTTAGTCGTTACATGATAATAATTTTGTTATACTGTTGTTTTACTGACAGATAGAAATACTAAGTCTAATGCAGTACGTAAGAATTTAAAGTAAATCTGAGAAAGTATCTTTATCTTTAGTCGAGAAGATATAAGGATACCAACAAAATCAGATAAATGCGTGAGAAAGTGAGGAGACCGCCTTCCACAGTTTGGCATTCTGTTACCAACCAGTAAGATGATACAATTTAGAATGACAAAGATAATGATGAAAATACCAAAGACCATTTTAGAAAAAAATAAAAATAAATAAAGGCCTTACTGATCAATAAAATAATGACCAATAATTATATCCATAATTTAACGTTGCTGTAATCTATGGAAAACATTAAAATTATATAAATTATTAGTACTATTAACATTTTAATTTTTGTTTTTACAGGAAAAGATAGAGAATGTGTTTTTAGCTATCTTCACAGTTGAGTGTGTGATGAAGATCATAGCGTACGGTTTAGTGGCCCACCCTGGCGCGTACCTTCGCAACGGATGGAACTTACTAGATTTTACAATTGTAGTAATAGGGTAAGCATTGACGCCTGCAAGCTTAAAATTGAAGCATGCTTCACTGGATTATGAATGCTTATTGTTTTAAAAACAGATATATTATGTAAAATACACATTTACTAATAGAAAGATGATCATTCATTTACAGTTTAATATTTCAGTGTTTAAGACAAAATCATTAAAACATCTCTTATATGAAAAGAAGTACCAAGAGGTCTTGGGGATCGGGTGTCAGTGTGATGTATGAAATTCAAACATGTAAATTTATTTGCTTTTGAAAGCTTCAAAACTTACTTCTGAACATGTAGTATAAAAATTGTATGTCTTATCTATTTCAGATTGTTAAGTTCAGCATTGTCACATTTAAAGATGGAAGGTTTTGATGTTAAAGCGTTACGAGCGTTCAGAGTTCTAAGACCGCTGCGCTTGGTTTCAGGAGTGCCAAGTTAGTATATGCGTCTTCAAATATTATTGCAAGCTGAAATATGTGAGAGGAGAAAGGAAGTTAATATAATAAGAACTGTAGATACATCAGACAGAATTGCAGACATTATTTTCATTGGAGAAATCATATACATTTCTGCTCTATTTTGTATAAGTGGCCATATTCTGTTATCGTCTCTGAACTGCTGTACTATATTTCTTTTTCACTTACTCACAAATCTTAAATATGGGGAGCGTGAGGGTAGTTCAATAGAAGCCTGCCCAGAGTACGTCAGTCCTGATTACTATGTCGTACAATCCCATGATTCCGCTAGAAACATAGAGTAAGTTAGTTGCATTACGATCTTTAGAGAGGCATGTGGTACTCTAGAAAATATGGCGTATAACAATAGTATTAAAAATATATTAAAATTGGCCGTCAATCACAATATAAGATAATTAAAAGATTAAAATATCATTTTTCGTTCCGTATCGAGTACTCGATTTACATATGGAACATTTACGACATGTTTCGGCTGTTAAGAATAAGGGTCCAGGGGAAGTGACTTGTAGAATCATCCTCTCCTATGGTAGCACGTGCCTTCACATATCAAACGCAATCAGCGTCTGTGTGCAGGATATGCATTGGGAGGCACTTGGGCATCTGGTGTACAGTTCCTATATCTGCTACCGTGATTTCCACATCTTAGACCCACTGAAGCGGGCGCTCTAGGGATGCCGATTAAATTCAGACGCTAATGTGAAACAAACTGTTTACCCTACATACGGAGTCTGTGATTAAAAATTAAATAATGTTTCTGACAGCCATTTGCACTGCTCCCCTTTACATTTTATCGCAATATGTTAATTTAAATGTAATCATGTCTAAATATTTCCCAGTTTTTTCAATTTTGGGAAATGGTAGCCCTGTCATTGTTTTATTCTCCTGTCATGATATGTGTGAATCCAGTTTTGAGAGATGTGTAAGATGTTGCGAAATTTTTTGAATTTAATGGCTATTTATCACAGGAGAAATTTTTAGGTTTTTTAATAGATTACAGATGCTGTAACATATACTGGAATGTTTCTTCTGCCGTACCAGAGTTAATTAATTTTTGTATTTTTTTTCTTTCTTTCCAGGTTTGCAAGTGGTGTTGAATTCAATTCTCCGTGCCATGGTGCCTTTATTACACATTGCTCTTTTGGTTCTGTTTGTTATAATTATTTATGCCATAATTGGTTTGGAGTTATTCTCAGGAAAACTGCATGAAACATGTTATAATAATATTACGGGTAAGTTATTAATGCCTCTGTCACCACTATCCTCTCCTACAAAAACTGTGTGAACCTACTGCTATCAGGCTAAATAAAGAATTTATTTTATGCAGTTACTTTGATGTTTTTTTTTTTTTTATTTCCATGTCAAGAAGCTGCATATTTTTAAAAATATTATCACGCGCAATGTCTCGGAATCCCGCGCTCAGTTATGCATTCACGTAAGTTTCAAGTAGCGTTGCAAGTAGATTTTAAAAGTTGTGGCGTAAAAAAAATTTAAATACAGTTTAATCAGCTGGGTTCATACACACGCATACATATACATTTTTAATTTTATTTCCAGGTGAGATGATGGATGAGCCGCATCCATGTGGGAAAGCTGGCTTCCAGTGTGATGCAATTTCGAAAAACATGGTGTGCAGGGGAAGATGGGATGGTCCAAATAATGGTATTACCAATTTTGATAACTTTGGTCTTGCCATGTTGACCGTGTTTCAGTGTGTCACCCTAGAAGGCTGGACGGATGTTCTCTATTACGTAAGTATAGGTCCTTAAGACAGCGAGCCTAAATGTGATTACAAGTCACACAGTAAATAGTAAAGACAACACATATACATATATATATTGGTCACAGAGAAAGGATTCAAATAACAAGAAATATTCACTTTATCAACTAATACAAACTTTTTTAAGTCCTGAATTTCATTTTGAGGTCCCGTGAATGAAATCGAAGCACAGCTAACTGAAAATGAAGTGCAGAGGGAAATGTTGACTTCAGTTTTCTGGGTTATGACACTGCATTCTTATAGGTGGTTACTGGTATTTTGGAGGAATCTATTGCCTCCATCTTCAGGGTATAATACTATAGAGCATCATAACCCAGAAGGCCACAAATCACATTTTTAATTCCTGAAAACTACTGTATCTAAGAGAGATGATGAATATTCATCGCCCTGATGACGGAGGCAGTATGACCTCTGAAACGTTGGTTAACATCGACCAGACTACACAGCGCAACAACCCAGAAGACAGAAATCTTCAGATAATATATTGTAATGTAATATAATGTATGTCCCGCGCCGTAGCCGCGTGGTCTGAGGCATCATGCTTCGGACCGGCGATACGGAATGCGCGCTGGTTCGAGTCTCGGGGGAGAAGACATTTTCTCATGAGATTTTCGACCGGTGTATGGGACCGGTGCCAACCCAGCATCGTGAGGAAATTGGGGAGCTACAATGGGTAGCGTAATCTGGTCAGGAAAGCTAGCAATGGCTGGGGGTTTGTCATGCTAACCACACGTTAACCTATATCTGGTTGGATGATCGTTCACCTCTGCTTAGGCATGTGAACGTGAGGCCAGCAGTCAAGCTAGTCGGCTTTGGCTCTCAGAGGGCTGTTACGCCACGGATTTAATATAATGTATAGTAGGCATGTGTGTGTTCATCGTACATGTCTTCTGTCATCCTATAATAATTTTACCTTGTTTTGAATTCTTTCAGGTGGAAGATGCAATGGGAAATAGCTGGCAGTGGATTTACTTTATATCAATGGTTATACTAGGAGCATTTTTTGTTATGAATTTAATTCTTGGTGTTCTCAGTGGGTGAGTTGATGCCGTGAATTTACCTACGTGAGACGAATGTCCGTTGTACTAGTATATGTCATCTGATTTGTTGCTGATATTATGAAAAAATCATACCTTATACAGTTACATTTTGTATTATTGTAATACTATTGATGTGTCTGGAAGATGTAAGCTACAAGATGGTATATAAGATAGTGTAATTGCGTCATATTGTGAATATTCTAACAATTATTTATTTTAATCCGTCTTATCACAATATTTAAAATTTCTTATAATTAAGATAATAAAATATCATTGATGTTCCATATCGATTGATCGATTTACATTTTGGAACATCTTTTACACAACATGTTTCAGTTTTTATAAAACCATCATCAGGTGTAAATTATTTACGAACTTAAAACTCAAATATGATTCCATTTGGTGATGTTTCATGCCATTTGTTTTTCAATTTTGGGCGAGGTGTTGTCTTTTCTTAATTTATCAGACGTACATATCGGTCTTAGATGGAAGAGTGATTGTTCCGATATGTTCAGAAGTACTACTGTCATCGTATCCTATAAAAATTAAGAAAAGACAACACCTCGCCCAAAATTGAAAAACAAATGGCATGAAACATCACCAAATGGAATCATATTTGAGTTTTAAGTTCGTAAATAATTTACACCTGATGATGGTTTTATAAAAACTGAAACATGTTGTGTAAAAGATGTTCCAAAATGTAAATCGATCAATCGATATGGAACATCAATGATATTTTATTATCTTAATTATAAGAAATTTTAAATATTGTGATAAGACGGATTAAAATAAATAATTGTAAGATGGTATATGTTAATGTATATCTTGTGCTTCCAGGGATAAGGCATGTTAAATGTTGAAGGTTTTCGATTTTGGCAGACATTACGTTTGTTGTCTTCAGGATGAATGTGTCCTGGAGGGCAAATAGATTTAGATCAGACAATAGGTGGCAAGTTAGGTGTGAAGGATTTGATTTAAGAAGGTTCTATCCAATCGGTAGTGAGTACGTGGTTGTGGAAAGGTGGCGAAAATGTTTTTAGGGATCATGTTATAAGAATAGGAGATTCTGAAAATTTTGTTGATGACGTAGTTTTAAAATAGAGTCAGAAATTGTGTGTCCTTGGTGAATTTGAATGTGGAAAAAAAATTTTGTTAAGTGGTATATATATGTTGTGGGTGCCCTGATTTTTCAGTAGCCTTGAGATGCAATCACTTACACCTTGGATGACGGTAAGTATGCTATGTGGTCTCTTTTTACCTTGTTTCTTTTGATGACAGGTCTAACCTTGAAAATCGCAATTTGAATGTGTGTCAAAACACTGGAAAATCTTCAACATTCAATGCAGTTTATCCCTGAAAATTGAATTTGCACATTAAAGTCCAGTAATGAAAATGCAAGGATGATAATGATACTCTAATGGCGATGAATAAGTACTTATATACAAAGGTTGTTTCAAAAGTAATTTACAAACAGGCACAGCATGCAGTAAATCTTTACAAGTTGAATCATCTTACCGACAGTTGTTGAGCAGATACAAACATGTGTTTGGGCAGTGAGAATAGTCTTTGCATATGCAAATGAGAATGAAATACAACTGGACCTAAGGCTGTGAAAGTTTGAAAACCATCGAGGTGTTTTTTTTTTATGAAACTGATGTTCTTTGTTTGCAGAGAGTTCTCCAAAGAGAGGGAAAAGGCAAAAGCCCGCGGTGATTTCCATAAACTGCGGGAGAAGCAACAGATAGAGGAAGATTTGAGAGGATATTTAGACTGGATTACACAGGCTGAGGATATTGAACCTGAAGGAGAAGACGGAGCTCACAATCAGGATGGTCTAAGTAGGTCATAGTCAAAAGCAGAGATGAACAGATACATTTTTTAAACAGCTAATTCAGTGGGCTGACAATTATCCATTGTCATAAATGTGGAAAGTGGAATCAACCTATTTTTATTTAATCAAAAAATGTTTCAATAATTTCATTTTTGTAGGTATATTTAAAATGCAAATTGTCTGGATCATATTTACAGAAAAAATTAATCAGTGAAGCAGTTCATTTTATCACAGATATATTCTATATGTAAACCTCTTTCTGGTATTTTTTTAATGTATTAATCAGTGTTGTATCAACTATAGAAGTTATGCAGCATGAAGTGTGATATAGGAGGATTGATTTGGTCTTTTAATATGTGGTGGTCGTTTAATATCCCATATTATAAAAACTAGAAAGTTAAATCAAAGTATAACATGACTTTGACTAGAAGATTGTGGTTTTAGAAATGGCAGTAGTCATACAGCAGTGACTAGATAATCATTCATTATAAGTGATTTAGTAATGTTTTATTTATTCTAATTAATTTTACAGATTTATTTTGTGTTTATTTTCTTTTCGCAGCCAAAATAGCAAATGAAACAGAATCTGCAGATCGGGCAGAGGGAGAAGAAGGAGAAGTTGAGCAGGAATCTTGGTGGAGGAAGAAAAAGAAAGTTTTTGACAGGTAATGTGAGGTAGAAAGAAAGACGTCTGGAAAGAAAATTTGAAACGACTGTTCAAAGATCTTAAGCTCTTTTATTAACCCTTTTGCTGTGCGTTACTTTCCTGTAATAATGAAATTAAAGGTAAGAAATATGAAAATGTTCAATATTTATTTTCAAATATATTATAACAACATTCTCATACAAATTCTAATTCTTCAAACCAGATGGCAGCACCATGCAGACCAACATAATTATGTTTATATAGCACAGCCCCCAAACCTAAATTGGGAAATGAAACAGACTAACAGATTACCTGGTGGACACTGCATTGGCCAACCAGGAACCTCACCTAAAATCAAAAAAACAATTTAGAAAATAATAGCCAATGGAGTTTTTAGCAGATGATAACTCAGGCAGAAGCCTGCATAGCAGAAGTATTGAGTTACCACAAAAAGGAGTTAAAGGAGTGGTGGAGATAAATGGGGTGAGGATAAAACAGACGAAAAATGCAGGTGCCCAAGTTGGCAATTTCAGAAAGCCCCCAGCCAAACAGTCTTAAGGAAATTGCTGGATTTCCATCCCCATATAGACAACTTACAGTAAAAGAATGGATATTATTTAGCATTTATGGTGGATGGTGTCAAGATAGGCATCGCGTGTTGTGTAATAAATTGTGATATGGCAGTTTATGTAACAGGCCTCTGATATTTGTTTTTATAAAACTTTTAATAGGCTTGCGCCCTTTAAAAATTTAAAGTGATAGACAATCATTGAATGTTAGAAATAGACTGTCTTGTAACTGTAACAGCTTAGTCATCATTTATTACTGACATTGATATATTTCAATATTATGTTGTCATGATATATTTTAGGGATAATATGTTGTTGATACACTATGTAAACTCCAAGGTTCACACTAGCACTTTCAAAATATGAATTCCTGGTATTATTAAAGTAGCTGAATGAAGCACATTGTCTCTGTGCCCTGATAAAATGGTTGAGAAATCAAAATATTTGAGAACACTTTCATAAATCATGTTCTGCTGGATACTAATTAAGTAAATTTTTATATTCATTGATGTGGTTATAGTACTGTTATTATATTATTTCCCACATATCAAATAAGATATTATGTTGGCTTTCCAACTATTTTATATATAAATTTTCACATTTGAGTGATCAAACAATACGAAGTAGATGTAAAGTGCTTTCTGTATGGTAAAATCTCCTGAGAATTGATTATCTTTAAGGGAATTACTCAAAGTTCAGTTGTCTCTTAGAGTGCTTAAGATGTTGGTAATCGAAAGTATAGACCTAATTTTAATAAACTGTTCGTGTAGTTTAGAATTGTTTTCTGTAGAGCACCGTGCCTTAAATCAGCCTTTAAATAATGTTACAGAAATAATCGAAGGATGAGGCGTGCGTGTAGGAAAGCTGTCAAGTCGCAAGCATTTTATTGGCTCATCATTGTGCTAGTATTTCTCAACACAGTGGTCCTTGCCACTGAGCATTATAACCAACCGGAGTGGCTAAATGATTTTCAAGGTAAACTGTTTATATATATAAATTTCTTTGTGTCTCTTTAGAGGCGTGTAAAATTATTATTTTGATTTAATATTCTGGTCACAAATTGTTATGTTTTATATTGACATGTATAGTTTTATATTTAAATGACTGTCTTTAACAATCTTTTCAGAGACTGGCAGAACTGTTGTTAGATATATTTCCTATTTAATTTCAGACATTGGTTGGGTAATAAAACGTAATCTTTTCTCTTTTTAGATTGGACAAACCTCATCTTTGTTGCACTGTTTTCAATGGAAATGTTGTTGAAAATGTACAGTTTGGGATTCCAGGTAAATGAATTGTGTAGATGCAACTGGCATAATTTAGAGAACATGTGAATTTTTCATGTTATTACCATGAACTTGCATAGCATGTTAGAGTAACTTTTGTAATAAAGGATTTAATTTTCATGTCTTGACACAGGAAACTGAATAGAGAATTAAATATAAGACTTAAAGCTTTAAATTCTTAATAGTCTGATACTTTTTTGTTGATATTTCACTTTATTCTCTCAGTTAAATACTGTACGTTTGCGTCATCTACACTGAGTAGATTGCTGTAGTACAAAATGTGGGAATTTCAGTTTTTCTTCAAGTAGTAATTTAAGATGAAGATATGTATGAATTATGAAACATGTTTTTTCTTTTTAAGGGTTATTTTGTTTCACTCTTCAACCGATTTGATTGCTTTGTTGTGATTGGAAGTATTGGTGAAATTGTTCTGACACATACGAAGGTGATGCCACCATTAGGGGTGTCTGTGCTCAGATGTGTTCGTCTGCTGCGTGTGTTCAAAGTGACAAAGTGAGTTCATAACGTACATATGTATACGCACAGAAAGAAATCTTTCTCATTGTTTCATCGTCTATGATTTTCAGCCTCCATATTGGCGAACATACCATAAACATAAAATAGAAATCACAGGTGTGTTCATGAAACAAAATTGAAATGATCTTTGGTCAGGTATATATTCCTGTTTTCTCAGTATTCATTTTGACAGGAATATGACTGTAAAACATCAGTGTATGTCATTATGAATCATACTGTACTCACCTTTACCAACCATTTAAAATAATTGAAATAGAACAGCTTGATGCTGAAATAGTAATCAGATTTTAAATACAATTTGTCTGATAGGTACTGGCGATCCTTGTCCAACCTGGTTGCCTCGTTGCTAAACTCCATTCAGTCCATAGCATCGCTGCTGTTACTGCTGTTTCTTTTCATTGTGATCTTTGCTCTACTTGGAATGCAAGTATTTGGTGGCAAGTTTGACTTCGACAATACCACCGATAAACCACGCAGTAATTTTGACAGTTTCTGGCAGAGTCTACTTACCGTGTTCCAGGTATTATCAATGTTTATAACATGGTTGTATGTTATATTGTACTGTGTCATGCTGTTACATGATTCGCTATCCTATATTATATTATTATATAATGTTCATCTCATGTGTCCTTTTAGATACTGACTGGTGAAGATTGGAATACTGTTATGTATGTTGGTATTCAAGCTTATGGTGGAGTTTCTTCTATTGGTGTTTTGGCATGTGTGTACTTCATCATTCTCTTCATCTGTGGTAACTGTATCCTTTTAAATATGTAGCAAATACATGACAAAGATTTAATTTTAGTAATTATACAGTATATTCCTGTTATCTTCAAAGTGTTTCTCATAATTATTTTGTCAAGAAGTATGTTGAATCTGGAAGTTCAAAACACATATAAAGTCATCTAAAAACTATTCAGTTGAACGTATCTTTGAAATATTTGTCATTAGATCAATTTTATATAGAAGAATAATAATAAGTTTTATATATTTATTAGTGGTTTTACAAGTATAGTGGTTGCAGTAGGCGAGTCAGTTGTACGATAGTATATAATGTTTCGTCTGCCTCCAGGAAGGATGAGGAACTTATCGGACTGAACGCCTGAACAAAACAAATACGCTGATCTCGCCACCTCAAGTACACAGAGTATTTTAGCCCAAAATATCCAAGCTTTGGAAAACACGTCTTCACTGCGTATTCTCACATTTTTAATCCAATATTTTTCCATTATCTGAATCTTAAATGCATTATTCTTTAAAGTATCCTGACCTTGACCAAAGTACAGATATTTTGTTAAATGTCTTCTTGGCTATTGCTGTGGACAATCTGGCTGATGCAGAATCTTTAACAGCCATTGAGAAAGAAGCAGAAGAGGAGGTAAGAAGAGTTTTTGGATTGGCTCATGCACCTGATAATCTTATTTAGATATTCATGTGTATGGAAGTGGTGTTTTTTCATGCACATTAAATCATAGTGTCATTTCAATATTCGTTTAGGCAGAAAAGCAACAGAAATCTCACAGTGGTTCACCAGCACGGGAAGAAGGACAGGGTGAAGAGGAAGGTGGAGAAGAGCAGGAGGAAGAACTTGCCGAAGATGTTGAGAAGTAAGTACCAGAGTTCTGTTTGTAATGACGTGCCCCAGTGTAAAGCGAAATCCCAGTAGGCACATAAGTCATGTGAAGGATTTTCTTACCAAGTCTAGTCATGATTTGTATGATCGAGTACTTCAAAAGCTTCTAATCAGCTCCAGGCTATTTTATTTTATAAAAATTGTATAGTAAACTAAATTAAAAACTGCAGGAAATTTTCAAAGCATTTCCTTCTTATTTTAAAATTTTTGATACTATGATTTTTAATTTCAATTTTTTCAAAATACTGAAATCAAATGTCAGTCATGTGATGTAACCTTTTTTAATGCTCCATGCAGTGTTGTGCATTTTGACTGATGTGACTGAACGTGTCTTTTAGTTTGGAGAAAGAAGACGCTGGAAGTGAAACTAAAGTTCCGTTGGACCGCGGAGACAGCGAAGATTACGACGACGAGGAACATACAGATAATCAGGGTAGGAAACTAAAGAACTCACTATATTATATTTATGTTGTACTGTTTAATGGAGTCTTATAAATTGGTGTGACTTATTTTAGCGCTAAATAACAGGTCTGAGGGCTGCGTAACATTCATGTCCTTAGTCGCTGTTAAACAGTAGTTGAAATAAACCATGACATAATTTGCTTAATTTTTCTGAAATGCTTAACTTGATGCTCTATGAATATTGAATTTCAGGCATGTCTAGTGAATATGCAATTCGAACCAGTTTAAAGTTGCTTCCTTTAAAGTGCAACAGTGTTCTTAGAAGAGCTAGGTAAAACTAACTTCCTTGTCTTTCATTTTATTGTTTGTTTTCTTTTTGGGAATGTACTTTGTGCATTCTGAGACTACCTCAATTAAAACAGTTTGTATTCCTTTCCAAAACACGTGGATAAAAGTAAATAATTGCATCTTTTTAAATTATCCAATTTATAATTTAGATTATTTTTTTGTGAACCTATTTTTATAGACATCCTGTGAGTAATTCATGTTTCCCTTATTCATTTATATTATAGGAAATATTTCTTTCAGTCATGCCTTTTAGGAGTTCTGTGGCTGTTGCTGATAACAAATGCTAATTTTTTTAGCTGTAAAATACTGTACTTTATTAATTTTAAAGAAACCTTTAATCTGGGACCAAATTGTAACATTATTTAAACCATAACATTGAAATTATTTATCCAACACCTAATTTAAGGTATGACATTGTTATTTTTATAATAAATCTAATTCTTCTTGGCTAAATATTTCTAATAGTTACACCAGGGGTGTGAATACTTTATCTATGAAAGAGATTTGAACAGTATGTTTTTATTTTTTCAAGTTATGTGTTTATAACAGTACAAAAAGTGAATTAATAGCTTGGAAGCTGATTTTCCCAAGCTGTGCGGTTTGCATTAAAATTTGCAGATGAAGATGATGAGGATAATGAAAGCGAGCATAAGACATCAGCACGGCCTCGCCGAATGTCGGACGCCGGTATGAAACCAACGATTCGTCCACTTCCTGAGGGAAGTGCATTCTTTATATTTTCCAATACCAACAGGTAAGGCAGATTTCTTATCTTGGGCTTGACAGTGCTAGTTTGGTCTCCCACCTCTATCACCCCCTCCTCAGCTCTAAATTTGATATGACCACTTTTTAGTAGTTCCCTTGTTTAAATTTTTTGTGTTTACTTTAAGCTACAAGTCAAAGTGTATGCAGGTGGCCAACCTAAGTAAGCTTCTTTGGTTCATGAGCAGAAATATAAAAGTGAGTTTCCTCGCACTACGCTTTACAAATTATATTCTAGACTGAAAAGTTCATGAAGTTCTTAAAATCTAACCAAGAGAGGGTTGAGATGTCTAGCTGTAAACCCAGAACATTTAAGAAAATCATGAAAAAGAAACATCTAAATATATTTTTTTATATAAATTTGTTTTACGGGTGACTTTAAGTCCCGTGGATTATTTCTGGGAGATACACACAAATAGATTTAGCCTTTCTGTAACTCTCCTCTTTATAACTAAATGTCCCACTTGTTCACACTTTTTACAGAATCCTTCTTGGGAAACTAATAGTAAAATCAGCAAGTCAGAAAATTATCTGCTGTTTATGAGTTTACAAGAACCTGCAACTGGACAACTTCAAAATTTTTTAGGAATTTTCAAAATATGGACAATTCACAGGAAGTAATAAGGGGTAATAGGCAGTAGGGACCAAAAATTTGGGAATTATTTATCAGTAAACAAGTTGTTTGATAAGCCCTAGATTTTATTAGTATAGTTCCATTAAGTTATTTTGATCCAAAATATTAGGGGATACATGTGTTTCACAAATTGTTCATCAGGGAGAGAAAATGGCTTATTCTGTCAAAAGTGGCAAATTGAAAATAATGGACTAGTCATTAAGTGACTTAATATTCAAAACTGAGTAATAGAGTTAACTAAAAAATCTTTACATGCAGTTATATAAAATAATAGGAACTGCTCTTACAGATCAAACGCATGGCAGCTAAATGCTGTGTAATTTTATAGAGTAAGTATTGATTTCATGGGTACATTATCTGGTTAAGGTGTTAAAACTTATTAAATGCTATTTCAATGTCTCAAACATCTTTGTACATTACTCAAATATAATTTTTCCAAATTACTCAAAAAATAATGATTAACGATGTGGAACGTTCAGTTTCTGTAGTATTCTGAAATCAAAATGTGGTCATTCAAGTTTCTTACCTAGCTAGTGTTCTTTACCTTCCTACATACCAAACGTGCGCAGTCAAGCCCACATGTGATTGTGCCTGTCTTATGTTAGTGTGGCATCTGTCTCTGTTCTAACAGACATGGATGAAATGGACGACGGTATCTCAGCTCGACCCAGACGACTCTCAGAATTCAACATGGCTACCAAGACACAACCCATTCCTCCAGAATCTTCATTCTTCATTTTCTCTAAATCAAACAGGTGACACGTAGCAAGCAACGTTGCCTGGTAGCCTCGTTCCTGCACTTGATATCAGCTTCCAGTCAAAGTTTATGTTTGTCACTTTTGTGTGTTGTATTTCTGTGTGTTTAAGTTGTGTTTGATGCTAGTACAAGATTTATTTTCAGATCTTCAATGTAATTCTCAGTTAATGAATAATATTAATCTCAATTTAGTATAAAAGGACTAAAGATAACACCTTGAAAGAGGGCAGAATTTATGCAGTTAGAAGGTGTAAGTCTAGAGAATAAATCTGGTAGGACTGATAATTATACATCTTATTTTTAAATTTGCCAGATACACTTTTGATTTTACAAGTGCTTGTTTTAACATGTTGCCTTCCGTTTACACAAACAAAAGAATGGCGTAAAGTTATATGTATGCTTGGAATAGTTACGCAAATACATAATTGGCTTATTGAGTGTTAAGGAAAGATTTCTTGTTTCACTGGGATGCAGTATAATTAGAGTCGGCGGAGGAAAATATTAAAATGGAACCATTTATTTCAGATACTCTGCAAAGTGTCATTTGAATATTCTTGTACCACAGTGATGTTTTAAATGGAATTATACCAGTTGTAATAAGTATGGTATATTTTGACACACAACTTTTCATATGATTTATGTGTGTTCAAGTCTTATCATAGTGAAAATTTGATTACATTAAACAGTCTGTTTTTACAGGCAGGTATTATTCCAGTATCTATATTTTCAAATGCAACTTAAACTCATGTGAATGTCTTAAAATTGAAGATTTATGTATGTAGTTTTGTATGATGTTTGCCTTATCTTTCTTCTAGGGAATGGTAGTTAATGAATGCACTCTTCTACAGCTGAGAATATATTATTCATTAGATTACTTATTTTGTGTCATAACACTGATAATCTTATGTGGATAAACCACAGTATCATTTCTATTCTTTATTTGTCTATTTTAGTATTATACTACAGTAGTTTATGTAGCAATTTTATTTCTATTAAAATGAGTGAGATATACATTTACATATTTAATGCATAAACAAGCAATAAGGTTTTTGTAGTGCACACGAGAAATATACAAGTGTAGTAACTTTTGTTTTATGCCTGAATCAAAGTATTTGCTCACTCACATGCTTGAATTTCATATATGATGCCATGCACGCTTACGTCCTCTGTCCTCGTAATTTGTTAGATGTTTCTTCAGTTATTGTTGAGTAAATAGTTGACTTTTCCTATAAAATTTCTAACCTAAAATAAGTTAGTGTTTTAAATAATAATAACATATTTTATAAATGTTTTATCTAAGAAATTTTAAAATGGTTATAGGCATTAATTACATTTATTTGCAAAGTAGTAATTTTCAGGCATTCTATTTGCTATGAAACCATTTTTGTAGACCTGATAAAATATCTTTGTAGCATCCTCAAGAAAAATCTCTTACGCATACTTGTTTTTAATATGTAGAAAGTTAAATTAAACTTACTACATATATTAGGAAAGAGTTTATATTAATATGTCATTCTCTATATTAAGTCTGTTTTGGTAATTTGCTATATTGTTGCACATATTACGAACATTGTTTCACACAGATGTATATTTACTCATTTTGTATGGCAGTCTACACGCATTTCGATTTCCACCTTTGATAATTGACAGACCAGACTACAGACTACATAATGTTACATCCCGAAAGACAGCCATTTTCCTTCTCATCATCATGAGAACCTCAGATTTCACTGTTGTCAGATTAATTTTATAATTCCTCACTTTATCACATTTACACTAATAACATATGATAGGTACGTATAAAATATGGTAAGTATGTCTTTGCAGTCAAGATTATTTGTATATAAATACCATTCTAATTTTATTATTGTCATGGAATTATATCTTAAAAAATAGTAACATGATACACACTGAAATTACTAGCATGTGTAAATATAAATTGGAGTTAGCTGTCATCATATACATATATTTTTGTGTTCTGTCTTTTTTTACCTGAAGTACTCGTACTACCATTTCCTTGTACTCGTGTAATTTATTCTGCAGTTAACTTATGCGTTTATGGATGATTTTTAACGTGACTCTTACCATGCCATATAGCAAACAGTGACACTACATGTCTTCTTATTCAATTATATATTTTCTTTCATGTCAAATGGCGTATCAGGATCCGGGTGTTCTGTCATTGGTTTAGCAACCACAGTTACTTTGGAAATGTGATACTTGTGTGCATTATGATCTCATCAGCCATGCTCGCTGCCGAAGATCCCCTGAGAACTAATACGCCTCGAAATGAGGTGAGTTTTCTAGTCATGACAACATATACTATATGATAATATTTTATTGCATTTACATATCAATTATTTCAAAATACTTTGTGCTTTTATACTGTCTTGCATGAGAGTGTTGTTTCTTTAAAAATCATATATTTTTTTCAATCTTATTTGAATTTAATATGAGAGATACTTATTAGAATCTAATGAAAGATACTTCAGGCCAAATCTATTATTTAGTTATGATACTTTTAATTAATTCTTATGTCATGAAGATGATGCAAATATAAATTTACAGATCCTGGGAAAATTTGACATCTTCTTCACATCAGTTTTCACAGTGGAGATCTGTCTGAAGATGATTTCGTATGGCTTTGTCCTCCATGATGGGGCGTTCTGCCGTTCAGCATTTAATCTCCTTGACTTGCTCGTGGTGTTTGTCTCTCTTATTGCCTTGAATATGGGGTATGTAGAAGGTTAAATATTTTATTGTGTCATTACTGTTTTCAGTGTTAATTTGTATGTGTTAAAATAAGATGAAAGACTGGAAGACCTCCATTTCCAGATTTTATTATTATACCTCAAGAGATCATAATACTTTCTGACTTAATATTTGTTAATAAGTGATCATGCCAAGAGACTTGTATTTCCATGTGTTTTTAAAATCCAATCTTGAAAATGAAGGAATATAGCATTAATATTTAATGGATCTACTCACATACTTCAGTGTTACCAGGTTTATTTTAACAGATGTTATTACCACTTTGCAGTGGAGGTGCCATTTCAGTGGTAAAAATCCTTCGAGTTCTGAGAGTTCTCAGGCCTCTCCGGGCAATCAACAGGGCAAAAGGGCTTAAGGTAAGGAATCTGGGATCCATAGTTAAGTGTTCTAACCAATACATATGTGTGAGGATATTATATAATTAATATTAAAATAATTATATTATATAATTCCTAGACATACAGAATTTATACATATCACCTTACATTACCTTAAATTCTAATTTAACTGAGAGTAGTAGATTTAGTAGTATATTTTGCATGTTTTCCAGTTAGAGAATAGAAAACATTCTGGACAACGTAATATAATTTATGCAAGTAAGATAAAATGACGATACAAAAGTGTCCTTCTTTACTGTGGTTTCCATCGTGTACATAAATACAGCATGAAGCAGGTGGGAGACTGGCAGAAGAGCTGTGTAGTGCCAAGTGACCATATAGTTTGGTTGAATGCTTTTGATATATTACATAGCATGGGGCATCTGAGGAAGAACCTGGCCCATGATTAATCAAATACAGGAGACAGCAAGGTGTTTCCAAGAGACACAGTGCCTGGTATTTGTTGATGGTGTATCTGTCCCTATAGCATGTAGTCCAGTGCGTGATAGTCGCAGTAAAGACTATTGGCAACATTGTCCTGGTCACCTGCCTTCTTCAGTTCATGTTTGCTGTTATTGGAGTCCAGTTGTTTAAGGTAGGCAGCAGTTAAAGCAATTAATGTTTATTGGCAAATGCACCTCTGGGTATAGATTAATCTTTTGGGTTTTAAGTTTTCAGTTTTGGTTTTTTTTAATTTGACAGTATTAATTTGTTTGTGATGTACAAGATTCGTTTTATTTAAATTAGTCCTTGTGGTTTTGTGTTCTCTGAAGATGACGCAGGGAGTCAGTCAGCAAAGTGTTTTTGTGCTCCCACCCAGCCTTGTCAGTTGCGTTGCACTGTGCTACGCCGTGTTTGCCAATGCCCTGACTAATTTGCATGTCAGTGTGATTTATAAATTGTGTCATACAATACCTGTCTATGTTTCTCCTGTTACCTAGTTCGTTAGCCCGTGCTGTAACGTAGAAAAATAAAGTCTTGAATCTTTTAAATTATGTTGCAAAATTTATGCTCTTAACCAGTCATTCTAGGACAGGGCAGAGCAGTGGGGAGAGGTCGCAAGGCTAGCAAGGGAGCCACCAGGTAACTGGAAGGTTGGTGGTTGGTTCCATCCTGATGCGATGACAGGATGATTCTTGCTGCATGCATTGGCTCTTCCTGCGTGCTTTGTTACTTACATGGAATACAGGGGCAGATAACTCTAGAAAATGGTTAGCTGTGGATTGAATGGGGAGAATTACGTGAGAAAGAGAATAGGTGTGTAGTTGCCTCATTTCCTTATTGTCTTGCTACATAAATATTGTTTTCTGTTGGGTTCTTATTATGAAATGGCTTGGTTGCAAATTGCTTGCTGGCTCCCTCAGCTGTCATTCTATCTTCATTGAAGTTTACACAGTTTCAGTGGCCTGAATTTTACTTTATTTTGAGTTTGAAGACTGGTTTATCTCTGATCCTATGGGATACAAAAAAGGAATCTGGCAAGAGTAAGATGCTGGCCATGCAGTTAATCAGGCATCAACGAGCTAGAGAGGGAGAAACAAACAGAAATCAGAAGCAACAAAAAAAAAAAAATCTAAAACAGCTTTTAGAAGTGGATTGCTCATTAATAAATCTAAAACAGTCTAACAATCTTTTCAATCACCTAGATCTGTTTTTTCTCCTGTTTGGTTGCTTGTGCATTTCTAGTTTTAGAATTTGTCATGGTGATAACATGAATGTTGCTATTTTTTTCGGAAGAATATGTTTGTGTGTTTCAGTCAGCATCTTAATCTGGCCCAGGCTCGCTTGCTTCTTTCCTTCCATAAACCGCCTCCCAACCAAGTGACCGGCATGGAGTTGCTCTGCTCCGGTATTTTTGGTCCCTTAGGTGCATTTGACCGGATGCCTGTCTGCCTGCCAGTTGAGGGCTTTGGGCTAGTGTAACTGAGACAGACCGATTCCATACTGACATTGCCTCTCTCTCTCTCTCTTTCTCTCCTCCCCTAGTACGTAGTGAAATGCGTGATAGTAGCCATTAAGACGATCGGCAATATCATGCTGGTAACCTACCTTCTGCAGTTCATGTTCGCTGTCATTGGAGTGCAGCTATTCAAGGTAACTCCACCGTTACATATGTTCTGCTCACTGCACTGTGCTCCAGTCAACATGCTTCTCTGCTTTTGCTTATATTACTTCAGTTTAGTGAACAAATGTCCTTTCTTTCTCCTGTCATCATTTATCGATGTCTGTCTAGCTTTCATGTTACGTGCTTAAGTGCTTTCTTTCTTGTACACTAGCTTAATTGCTCACTTGTGTGTTAACTAAATTGCATTTTTTTAAATATTTGTATCTGTGTGTGTTTGTTGTCTGATTTAAATTTGTTTGCTTATAGCTTTTTATTTTCTTTCCTGTGCTTGGCTGTGTTTGCGTGTCTTTGCTCACTTGGTACTTGTGTCCATTTTGATTACTACTTTTTTTTGTTTAATCAGACTTCACTTTTTGTGTGCCAATTTAAATAATTATTTTGCATATTTGAATTTCTTATTATTGCATTTTAACTTTTGATCTCCGTCTCTTGAGAAACATGTTGCATGTAATTAAATTAAGTGTAGAATATGGTGTAAATATTTCTCTCCGGTTTGACTAAATTTTGCATTTTTCTGTAGCATACAAATACAAAACTTCGAAACTCTTGCAGTGAATTTTTATTGAACATTTCTGAAACACTTCTGAATGCATGTTCCTAAAGTTTAAATTAGTTTAGGATCTTTGTCCTGTATTTCAGGAAACTGGATCTATTTTCTAAATGTACTTTAACTGTTTTTATCTTTATGAAAGTAAGTTTATTGACTGAAAGTGTTATAGGTTTGTAACTTGGATCAGCGAATCCTTTTACAGTTTTCAACAATTAATCAGGAAGAAGAATGCATGATAATGTATTTTAGAATGGTGTGACATAATGGGATTCCAAGTTAAGTTGCATAAATAATAACATATATATGAATTAAGTAAATCTCTAATATAAAACATAGATAAAATATATTATATATTTTATATCTCTAACATTAGCCATTTTCATATACCAAATTATAATCATTTAGTCTTGTCTTTTCAGAGAGATGAAAGTTCAATGTTGTTTACCCCTAGGTGTTAACATGTTGCCTCTAAATGAAGAATTTGAAGTAACAGACATTTGTGCCACGTAGTAAGATGTTTTCTTTAAACACGCAGTTACCAAAAATTAACAGGAATTCAAATTTGGGAGAAAATATTGGACTAATTCTAACTAGAACTGGATTTTGTACTGCAGAATAATGAAAGCTTGTGTCTTATGCATCTCAATCTGTTTTTTTATCGTGAAGTATTATACTCACTTAATTCATCACTATTTACCAGGCCACTGATGACTAAACTTAAATACTTCACTGTTTCCACATTTCTTGCATGTGACAGTCACTCCTACTGAAAATTATTTTTTAATGCCACTAGAAATCAAAGAAGACGTAACCAGAAGGTTATTGTAGTTCATGTGGTTTCATTGTGAACATATTTATCATATTCATGTTTTCTTCCTGCTTTCTGATTTTCTACACCAGCTTCCTGTCAGTTTCATAGCCAGGCATTCTAAGAAACACGAGTATTGATGAAATATTTAGTTGCAACTTGAATGCTTTAAGTACATTATTCTGACATTTACATATTTTGCAACACTGAAGCATTTTATCACAGTTGATGCTATCACATTATTCATGCTGCTCTCTACACTTTGACACCAATTTTGTTTAGTTCTGTTTTGGATATGCATTGAAACATATTCTGATTCAGGATTTGAGACTTTCGCGGCGAGTACAATCAATAATATCTTCTCGGGCAATCAGCCACTTCAACTGGTTACCGTAGTAAAACCAGTTTACTATGGTAACAAGTTGACGCGACTGATTGCCCGAGAAGATTTTATTGATATTCTGATTTATCAGTTTAGTAATAATTTAATGATTATGTAATATAACCATCAAATAATTGATAACCATCAGTGTTTAGCACTCCTCCATCCTATTCAGGAAGTCCAGGTTTATATCTTTGATTATTAGAAACTCTTGTAAATAAGATGGCTGTCTTCTGGGTTGTAGTTCCATGTAGTCTGGTAGAAGTGTTAGAAGACAGCCATCTTCATACTCACCACTGTGAGAACTTCAAATTCTATCCTGTATATAAAATATTTAGAGAAGATCCTCTCTATAAAAATAAGAAATGATATGATTAGGTTAGGTTATTCATAGTTTAGTATTCCCATTTGAATTTTGGTTGGGAGGTTGGTTATCCAGGCTGATTTTCATGGAAAATGTTTTTTTTCTCAGTTCCTCCAGGCAAGGGCCATAATAATATTTCCATTCTCCATTCATTTATAATAATCTTTACAATTTATCATTAAATGCTATATATCCTATGCAGTTGACACTGGGTTATTAAATAAATCAGAAACAAAACCTATAACATAAAGTCTTGTGAAGTGTTATCCTGACATATTAAAGTTTTTGAATTAATAATAGTGATGAAAATAACATTGATATTGAAGCAGCTCTGAACACTGTTACTGAGTAGGCATTTTTTGTGTTCTCGTGTAAATTTTATCCCTTTTTTTTAATTAGTTTAGTTAGATTTGTACATATTGAATCAATCTGCATTGTAATAATAAACAATCTGGATGAGTGTGAAGATTTGGCTCTCTTTTGGGTTGTTGTGCTGTGTAGTCTGGTAGAAGGTTATCAACATTTCAGAGGTACTTGTTGCCTCCATCATCAGGAATATTGCATTGATGATGGAGGCAGCAAGGACCTCTGACACGTTAGTAAACTTCAACACAACAACTAAAGAGAGCCATTTTCAGACTCACAGCTGTGAAAACCTCAAATCCTACATCTTTAAATTGCCTTCACTGTAACACACTTTATACTGCATAGAACTCTTTGTAAATTGTCACCTGTAGTATAATTAGAATATATCAATGACCCCATGTCTAATGGTTGGCAGACAGGCATTCACAGGTAGAAAACTAGTCCACATCTTTTTCCTTGAAAAATAATGTCATTGGGGATAAGCCATCTTTGTAGTTATAAGCAAGGGTTAATATTATACACCCCTTTCTTCTTAATTTATAATTTTCGTAACATTTATTACTTGACATCACGTACGTATATCAGTACTTGATAAGCCTTTATTAACCCAGAAGTTTATACTAACAATAAGTGAGATTTCAGGTTCTCATGGCAGCAAGTATGAAGATGGCTGTCTTCTGGGTTGTTGCACCATGTAATCTAGTAGAAAAATGGTAGATGTTTACCAGCGTTTCACAGTTGCTTGTTGCCTCTATCATCACCCTGATGATGGAGGCATCAAGCATCTGTGAAATATCAGTAAACTTGTACCAGACTACGCGGTGTAACAACCCAGAAGACACTTTCAGTTTATATCTAAGTGCTGTAATTAATTATCCTGAGCAGTTAAATTAAAACTTGTATGGCTCAAATGTGAATATGCTTCTGTTGCCTGGAAATTCATTATAATGAATAAAATTGTCCAGACTCTAAATAATTCAAAGACAATTTGCTACCTCATGATATAGCAGATCTTTTGTGGACATAGTTTCATTAGTTATTTTATGAAAGTGTTTTAGTTTATGTTTATGTATTTATGAAAGTATGAAAATTTTAAGTATTTGTAAAACTATTTTAGCCAGATTGAGCCAATCAACACTTTATTCCAGATGGCAGCATCTAGATGTCTCTTTCCTTCTTAATGTACTTAAAAGAAATGACTTGTTTTTCCATATTTAACTGTCTGTGGAGATTAAGTAGGATTTTAGGTTCTCTCTTGTGACACCAAATATGGAGGCCCCTGTCCTCTGGGTAGTTGCACCATGTAATCTGATAGACATTTCTAGTATTTCAGGGGTGCTTGCTGCCTCCATTATCAGAATGTTGATGAAGACAGCAAATACCTCGGAAACTACATGCTGCAACAACCCATAACACAGCCATTTTTAACTGGAGATCACTCTACATTTGTGATTAATCACAATTTTAAGGTCAATCTCAGAGCTAGTTTTTTCTGATGCCAATGCTCTTTGCAAGGACATTAATATTTTAACAAAGATTATATTTTGTTTATATATCATACCGAATCACTTGTAATTAGACTTTCTTTCAGCTTTTTTTTTGTCCATATTTTGTAGTTTTCATATTGTGCATTTGTACTGTTCTTTTGTTTGTTTTTAATGTTATTTCTTGATCCTTTACATCATTTGTAGATTTTATTATGTTACTTTATCTTATACTGCTGTTTTTAGTGATGGATTCTAATGATAGTTTTGTTTGGCTGTTGTCTAGTACAAGCATAAATGAATTGAATTTTTATTATATAATTATTGTTGTTACTATTATTACTACTAATACCATCATGGCAACTACTGCTTTTGAGTAAACTGCAGTTTTCTTCCCTATATTAAAGATGCAGTGTGAATTATTGATTTCATTCAAAAATAATTACCATTATGTACATTACATGAACTAAATTCTGCAAAGTAAAAGCAATTTTTAAGTCCTTTGGACTAATTTGGTTTGATTTTAATATCAAGCTGTCCATTACTGATTCTAGTGCCTTGATGCAGAAAGTGTAGCAGAGCATTGGGATGTAGAAAATAGCAGTACCTTATCATTCTGTCCATTTGTGTGTAATTCACTGTAGCACACCAGACTTCAAATAGGTTCAGAACATTTAAATGTGCAGAATGAAAAACATGAGAACATGTGATAAGTACAGCATGCAGAAATGTTATGTTAGTCTCATGAATGGATTAAGTTGCTGAAATGGGAATGTTGCATTAGTTGTTTAGTTTGCCTGTTTTAGGGTTATGTAAGATGTTAGTATCTGCTTTATGTATTAGCAAAATATGTAGATGTGAGTTAGACTGGAGCAATAGACATTTGTCTTAGAATCTGCACAAATTTTCACACATTTTGAAGTTCTGAGTAAAATACAGAAATATTAATATATCGATATTAATTTATATATTAATGAAATTTCACTAGTAAATCAGGATTTTGGTTCTGCATTGGTGTTTCCTTTTCTTCTTTAATTAAGAGCCATGCATATTTTAAGCTCATTTTGTGTTATTGTGATTTAATAAGGAGCATAATTAAATAACACAACTTTGCTGAATGGTTAGGACTTCTGGTTCATATTCAGGAAAACCCATTTTCAAATCATGACCCAGAGACCAGCTGTCATCCTTGCAGGTGTTCGTGGTTTTCCTCAGACCATGCAAATGCTGGGATAGTGCCGTCAAATAGGTCATGACCACTTCATATAATTTTCAGTGTGTTATCCAATAATTATCTCATTTGTGTACAAATAGATAAATAAAAAATAATATAATTTTAAGGTATAGGAACATTATTTTTATTATTATTAAAGTATAGTATATATCATACTGGTACCATATTAAGTACAGTTTATCAGTGTGCATTGTTTACCTTGTTTTGTGTTAATATATTCTACAAAGAATTAAATATTTTAGCTACAAAATCATGAAATACCATAAATCTTATACCATATTTGTTGGTGATGAAACACAGAATTTTTAATCCTCTACATCAAAATTCATTACAGCAGTTTGATGGTTCAGTACAAGTTTCAGTTTCTATTGCATAATTTTTCAGGGAAAATTCTTCAGCTGTTCAGATGGCTCAAAGATGACAAAAGCAGAGTGTCGGTAAGTTGTAAGAGTACAGTTTGCTTCTTAGCCTCTTTAAAATGTTAGGTTAGGTTATCCCTAATTTGACTTTCTTAATGTTACAATCTCTAGTGTGAAGTGATAATAGGGAATGAGACTTTGTATGGAGAGAATTCTGAGCCAAGAATAGTTGATAGTTGTACATACCTTTGGCACATTTTACTGTTGTAATACATATATTGTGCGGTAGCTATGAAACTTTATATTGGATTCAGATTTTTCATTACCCAGTTATTATTCTCTCCCATTTCTGTGTCTGTACTTATATTAAGGCACTTTAGAGTTAAGGTTTCTGAGTAGAAGAAATTTATATTACCTGTAAAGAATGTATATAAAGTAAACAACTGTGTAGTATATTTTAACATTTGTTTAATGGTCCCTATGTGTGTAAAAAAGTAAAATATTTGTTAATTGTTTTAGTGCTTGCTAACCCCTCACATTAAAAAGGGAAATATTGATGATTGTAAAAGGAAGAAGGCATATGTCCCTAATTTCAGAACCTTTGCTTTCATTTATTGTAAATAAAATTAATAAATAACTGTATTACATATGCCACGGTGGTCTAGCGGTTAGAACGCTGGCCTTGTAATCCTGGGCTCTCGGGTTCGATTCCCGGCGGTGCCCGAATTTATAACGTGTGTTGGGGAAGGCCGTGGTCTAGGCAACACGGAGTTTTCCTCCGTGGCATCCCAACAATTACTCCATTCACACACAGAAGAAGGCAATGGCAAACCACTTCTGGATCAGCTGCCAAGAACGTATATGAACAGGTCCCAGTACGAGAAAAGGATGGAAGGATCCTGTTCATACGGACCTGTCGTCAGACAGAACACTAAAAATAAAAATAAAAAAATTTCAGGACACTTGCTGTTGTAAAAATACCACACCAAGTTTTACCATCGACACAAGTATACAGTTAAAAACAAATGTACAGTAGTCGGTACCCAACCGTGCGTTTCGCCAACGTCATACCTTGGGGGGGGGGGGGGGGGGAGGGGGAACAGACAGAACACTAAATAAATAAAATAAATTACATATAAATAACAATGTATGCATTAATGACAATTACTTAATTTTTTTAAAAAGTGCTTAAATGTCATAAAACAGGCAATGAATTAAACAATAATTTATTTAAATTTCTTGCTCCAAATTATCTCCTCAACTTCCTTATAAAGTTTGACTGTAGAACTTTTAATTATCCTGTACATGCAATACTGAAACTTTGTCATGTCCACGTCTACCTTACAGCCATTGTTAAATGTGATTTGTTTGTTTATTGTGTAAATATTTATGTAATTATTATGAGCAAGCAAATGGTATGATGTATATTAACAACTTCCAGTGGTACATACCTTGTGTTTGATGATGGAGATATCAAGCAACCACATGTTGAAGAACGTACATGGGCAAGGAACCGATTCCACTTTGATGACGTTGCCAAAGCTATGCTAACATTGTTTACTGTATCAACATTTGAAGGTTGGCCTGGGTAAGTCAAAGTTTTTAAAAATCCAAGTTCCTTTTTTTATAGTCCAAAATTTGAGATTCTCCTCTAATTACACATTTCTCCTTGTTTTAGGCTTCTCTACGTTTCAATCGATTCACACGATGAAGATGAAGGACCCATCCACAATTTTCGTCCCATAGTTGCTGCTTATTACATAATTTATATCATCATCATTGCTTTCTTCATGGTTAATATTTTTGTAGGTTTTGTCATTGTGACTTTCCAAAATGAAGGTGAACAAGAATACAAAAATTGTGAGCTTGATAAGAACCAGGTACTTCCATTTTATTTTAAATTGGATCTGTATCACGTCATCATTTTGTTATGTATATATCGCAATGAATTCTTTAACTGAACTTCACTGTACGTTTTCTGTGATTTCATTCTTGTATGTCGTAAAGTACCATATTAAGCCATTCTTAATTTATTTGAGGACGATAAAAAAAATTGTTAAGTGCAAGACTCTTGGATATCTGATAAGTTCATAATTATTAATAAGTTGGAATCTTCTTTGTATTGTTCAAATTAAGTAAAAATTGTATTCCAGAAGATTAAATTCAGGCGAAATAGTGTATGCAAGAAATGTGGCACCTAAAATCTTTTGTGAACTTCTGCTACATCTGCTGTATAGAGAAATAAATATCGGTGAGAGATAAAACAGAAAATAGGGGGATAAGAACATACAATCACATAGCGCTTAAACCCATTGTGCTGCGGAAAAATTTTCCTCGTGTAACTTTGTGGGCGTGTGTATGTTTGCACACATACACATTCATGCATTGTTTGTCCATCTTTTCTAGTTGAATTTTTTCTCAATGAGAACAAAACTATATAAGTTTTGTGTTAAAATTAATTTAAATTCCCCATACGGATAAAACTATAATTCTGAATCTACAAATCTTAATTTATAAAATGAGTTACGTACCAAATAATGAAACATTTTTACAGAGCTGTATGAAATAAATGAAAAAGTTGTTTTTATTTACTTCACGGATAATCCATAAGGTGACTGCATGATATCTATACAATAGAATCCAGTTTCATTCCTGTAAATTTAGAACAGACTAAAATCCTGAATCATGTGTCTTCCGTATCATATCAATGAGCAAGTGAAAACTTAGATATGTATGTACTTATTTCTGTGTTGCTGCCTGAAATTTTTAATTTAATATCTTGTTGCTTTGCAGAGAAACTGCATAGAGTTTGCTTTAAAAGCAAAACCCATTCGCAGATACATTCCGAAACACCGTATCCAGTACAGAGTATGGTGGTTTGTAACATCACAACCTTTTGAATATACAATATTTATTCTCATCATGTTAAATACCATCACGCTGGCAATGAAGTTTCACAATCAACCAGAATCTTACGAAGAATTTCTCGACGTCCTTAATGTCATCTTCACGGCTGTGTTTGCTATGGAATTTGTATTCAAGTTGGCTGCTTTTAGGTTCAAGGTAAGCAATTAAAATACCATTGTTTAAACGTGTATAAATGATTGGCATGTTCCAATGTAGCAATGAATTTGTAAAACAGTAGTTAAAGACAAATGTAAATAATTTATTTACTGTAACTATTGTACATAATTATTGCATGACAGAGTTATTCAATATGTAAAATTAATTAAGTATTCATCATGATCTCCTAGAAATATTAGAGAATATCACAATGTAAACATAGCATAAAAAATTCTACTTCTTTCATGAACAGACTAGATTAACCCTTTTGCTGCATGCCAAATATTGTTGAGTTTCCAATGTGATCACACAAAATCTTTTTTTTGAGTTAGCACAAAAAAACAGCAAACCACGACAAGCAGCAGAATAAGTTTAAAATTCCCTGTTTCTTTATGAAGATTTTAATTATGAGTGACTTCACAGCATGACAACATACCTCATCAGAAATTCCATAGATGAAACATATAAATTTGTTATATAACTAACTCGTCCAAACCGCACGAAGACGGACATCGTGTGTGACATATTATATTATAAGCAGTTGAAGAATTAAAAGGGCGTAATAAGCACACGGTTTGAGACGCTTACACTTTCACTCGCTCCGAGCTCCAATTGGAATGAAACCATGTATCTGCACCTACTTATGATTGCGCACTGTTCCCATTGGTCATAGAGCAGAGACATAAGTGTTGATGTCACTTTTATTAATTTATTGTTAGTAATGGATGATGCATATAATTTTTATGTGCATTTTATATTAGTACATTACCCTAAGCAAATTTACTTTGCAGAATTATTTTGGTGATGCATGGAACGTGTTTGATTTCATCATTGTGCTTGGCAGCTTCATCGACATCATTTATTCTGACATAAATGTGAGTAAAAACAATTGAAAATATACAATTATGCAGTGTGATGTCGTGAACTTTAGTGAGTTCTTTGATTTACCTTGTGTATATAGAAAACTTTAACTAGCAGATACTCAAGACAAGCTTACATTTTGACCATCTGGGGTGTCTCATAATGGTTCTAGAGCTTCAGAATTGAGTTTGCAGAATATAATTTAATTTCCGTTATTTGTATAATCAAATAATTGGGAATAAAACAGAAACTGTGATAGAAATATTCTGTGGTATTACAAAAAACAAATTTTGGTCTCAGTAGTACAGAATATAAGACTTCTTACCATCACTGTAATTGTCTTATCAATGTATTTAATTAAATTGTATCTTAATTTATTATCTAAAGTACAGTTCCTTGTGTATATGCCTTACAAATTTATGTTTATAATGATAATTCTGCTAATCATAAGCTAAAAATAATATGTTTATGTTAAACCAGTGATTCCTAGGTATTTTAAGAACTTTTACATATAATAATAATAATAATTTTTATGATAATAATAATAATAATAAATTTAAAGGGGTTATTGTTCTTGGTCTGTAACATGCATTGTGCCTAGTGGTTTATGATTGATATTTATAAGTTCTGCAGAATCTATTACTCCATTTTCCATTAAGAAAACACGTTTTAGTTAATCATGCAATTGGCAGTGATTTTTGTAGTATGGACGATTAAACCTAGGAAAGACGTGACACATACCCCCATCTAATGCTGAGTTATGAGTGAGTAGGAGCTATATCTCCTCTCCTCCCAAGTGCCACAGCATGTAGTAGGACAGCTTTACTTTGCTTAGTGTGTGATGTAGTGCGTTAAAGTGATCTGGTAAAACATATGGTCTAACAAGGCAGTTGCCGACAATAGCTGCCCATATTTTCAGACTATACCATTATTCGAACATAGTCTGGTGGACATTATGAGAGTATTCCAGACCCCATGTGTGTATATCATAATTATTTACTCTGTTTCTTGTAAATAAGGCTCAGATGTCCAGATTTCATGATTTATGGAGTTAGGATGACCAGCAGTGAAGTGTAGAAGTACTGCGAAATGAAAGTTAAAGCCGGATGTGAAGGCATAAGCAAATTAATCTCTTTGGCTTTAACACAGAACATTTGCTATTTATCCTGCTACTACTACTCGCGTATGGAAAAGCGCTACAAAACGTTTGATCCCAGGTACATCACGCAGTGCTTGTACAAAGCAAGATTGAACATATATTTGCTATTGTAAAACTCTTGACATGCTGTACCTAAAAATACAGTTCCAATGTCCACCATGCTTGACTGTATGACTAAGCCATTTGTAAAATGCGGAAGAAATTGAAATTAAGTCTTAATGGTGGCAACTCTGGTAACAAGAAATGCAGATGAGGCTATGATGGGATCTGGTGGAGTCTGGAATCAGGTGATTTTGTGTTGGTGCATTTGGCAGGAATCTGGCTTCAGTTGTTTTGAAAATGTTCTCACATTTAATTTACTTTTTAAAGAAATTTTTATCAATTTTGTAATTTAAGTTAAATTTGAAATTATAATGCTGCAATAAATTATATTAATTTTCAACACAAAAAAGGGTAATTCCTATCAACTTTGATGGGTCGAACTATGCTAGTCAGGAAAATATTTATTTAAACTTTCTTTTTTCCATTTACCTCCCATGTAACTCCTATAAACTATGTTCACACCTTCTGAAACATCCTGCATTTGATGCAGAGCACTTTTGATGTATTTATTTTCTTGCAGCTTAGAATTATCTGGATTTATTTGTGTGAGGTATGCATGGTCTTGCCACAACTATTATAGAATGAGCTTCAGCCTTTTGAACACATTCTGGGAAAAAAAATATATATTTTGACATACTGTTCCTTGGAAATCTGTTACATGGGCTTATACGCACAATCACAACACACTATCAACAATCTGTGATTTCTTCTGTGTTTAATTATTCACTGAATTCAATTTAATAGGATGCATATAAATCCCTTTATTTCTACTTCTAGCAATTGGCTACCCCATACTTTGGTGGTATTATGTCAGCCATCAATTGTTTTGTTTTTTTATTGAATATCAGTATTCTTTTCCTCAGATGGTATTATGAAGTTGCTCATGTTCGGAATGCTGACAAAGGGGATGATAATTCTATTGAAAGTTTAACAATTTTAACTAGCCTTGCAGGGATATAATAAATTCTTGATAATGAATTCTGTTTATGTAAAAGAATAAAAAGCTCTTGTATTGTTATTGTGTTTCATTGACAGTCAGAAGGATAATTACAGATAGAATAGAAGAGAAGAACACAGTAATAAATATAGCAAAATATGAAATAATATTAAAAATTTACACGAGTGTAGACATCATTAAAAAAAAAAACACTTGCTACTGAATACGTCAATGTGTTTGTAATAATAATTCAATTACATTATGTCAGTTAGATTAAAAGTAGAAGAAAATATGCAAAACAAACAAGCGAATTTATATAATTAGAATGGTAACACAATTAGTGAACGGTGAGTAGTGGAGGTGAGAAAGGGGGGGAAACAGGGTGAGCAACTTGATAATACCTACTTTTTGCCAAATATTATTAAAGTGATCAAATCAAGGAAGAGATGTGAGTACATTTAGGACACACAGAAGAAATTAGAACTGCTTTTTTGAAACAACTAGGCATAAATGGAATGATAATATGAAAATAAATCACAAAAGGTGTCAGCATTGGTCAGGAATTGTTGCATCTGAATGCTGCTTTGTCGCCAAAGTCATATTATGGAAATCTTTAATGCATGTTACTTTAGGATTAGTTGCTTACTTGTAAACTGTTCTTTTTCAGAAACCTTTCAGTATCACCCATTTCTATCATAGAGATATTGTATCATGTCAACAGTTAAAATTTAAAATATATGCAGGATTACAATTGTAGTAGGATAAACAGTGCTGTGAATTATGAAATTTGATTCCAGGATTTATAACTACAAAAATGGTTTTAGCAGTCTAGCATGAACACATACATTTTGAAATATTGTATGCATATGGTACTGTAAAAGAATTGCAATAATTTAGTATGCATTTTCAAGGTCAATGACAACTATTTGAATACTAATGGTGAATAGTAAAGTTTTGAAGTATTACCCATAATTTCCTGCTATAATAATGATCTACCAAGTGATCTCCTGCAGTTGAGTTCATTCTGAGTTAAGAAGTTGTTAATTCCTAGTTGATATTTCCTGGTAGCTCATATGTAGGCAACAAATTTCAGGTTCAAACTCCAAAATGGGTAGATAATATTTTACTAACTTTAAAAACATTACCATTTGGAGGTAGTTTGTAAAGAATTATTCATTTCTTCATGTACAGTATTTTATATAATATAATATTTAAAGTAATTAAAGTTTTTAAAATATTTGTCATTCTTAAACAGCATGTCAGTAGACACCTTTCAGTTTTATTGATGTCAGACTGAAGTTGTCATGCATATTCAAGTAAGAAGAATTGTAATCAACATGTTTATTTTTCTAGGGAGTTTACTTTACATTTCATATTTTGTATCTATTTAACAGTTATTCCACCAAACATCTGTGATGCTTGTTTTGTATGAGAACGATGCATTTGTTAATTTCTAAACTAAAAAAAAAAACATAGTTTATTATGATATCTGGCAACATTTCTATTTAATGTTTTCACATAAATAGCATGGTATTACCTCCCATGATGCAACTTTATTTTGTTATTTAAGTTTATATTATTCTTACTCATGTGGACATGAATATAACATTGATTCTGGCACAAAGAATGTCCCAGCTTGCACCCAACTTAGGTTTGCATTGCAAGCAGGAAGGCAGTCTTGTTAAAGCTGAACTAAAGAAGGTCTCAGGCATACCTATGCTTCTTTTCCTTTGCTTTTATATATACTTATCTTTCTTTCTTTTCTTCTTTGCCTGGCTAGTGTGTAATACATACCAAATTCTCTGCCTTGCAACCAGTAGATCTGAGATTTTCCTTTATATATAATTACAATTATTTGTTGTAATCTGTAGCTTGAATGAATCTACATAGAATGAATCTTCTTCTGTAGGAATGTTGGACAAATGACTACTTTTTTCTTATTTGCATGCACATTGCACATAGCTGTTGTAGAGTCCTCCATGATCAGCACAAACTGTTTTGATGCAGAAAAGAACACAGGTTTTGTATAATGGAATAATAGAAATTGCAGTGCTTGTCTAAGTGTTTTATTTTATCAGGCAATGAACTTCTTGTGGTTTGAGTAGAACCTTTAGTATGTCACATGAAATAAATGTGTAATACATTGTTATATTTATGTGAATCTACAACATTCCCTTGTCTGCAGTTAGAAAGATTACTGCACCTACACTTAGAGAAACACAGTTCCAGCTCTCAATTTTCAGCAAATTTCTCATGCCTTAAGTTGAAGTGCACTTTTTGTTTTATGAAAGTTTCAGGTTATGTAAACATAAAACTAACCTTAAAATATCGTCTTGAACAGTAATGTTTCTAAGGTTAGTAAAATATTGCAGTGTTTAACTGCATTTTATAACTTGATGATTTATGGATCAGTGAATAATATGTAATGTGTTCCATTTTGAATTAGTATGGAAACTTGAAAGTGTACAAGACTCAGCAGTGACTGCCAAATCAATGACTGCAGTTTACTGATTTTGATGGCCTTGATATGGATGACAGCCCTTGTCTTATATTTCCGAAAGATTTAAGCTTGGGTGGCTGATCAAGGAACCCTGTCATTCCCAGATATAATCTGATACATAAATATCCCCACTCTTTTTTTAGTATATGAATGCAGGGCAACATCCATTCAAATTTGTTAAAAATAGATAAAATTCCAGTAAAAATGTGGCTTCAACTAACCAAGGTGTTTCCTTCCATGTCTCATCAATCCAGACCCCTACAAGGTTTAAGGTTTGTGGTTACAAGTCACGCTGATGTTATATGTGGAGATAGGCTGGAACTTAACTCTCCTAAAATGATACAAAAATAAAATAGAATAGGTCACTTTACTCGTTTGATTCATTGTTCTATAATTTGTGTGAGATAATTTTCCTGCTGTTTAGCTTCTTGTGTATGTCAGATTATGTTGTACTACTGAAAATGATCATACTAACATGAATTTCACAACAAGAGTGGAGTGGTCTTGTAATGATTTGTTTGGTCTACTTCTTGGCCTAGAAGGTGATGACGTACCTAGATTTTGACATCCTTGAATTTATTGCTTCTGTCACTAGTACCATAAAAAAATTTCCTGTCATCTTGTTTTATTACGAATGGCCTAGAAGGTGATGACATGTACCTAGATTTTGACATCATTGAATTTATTGCTTCAGTCACTAGTACCATAAAAGAATTTCCTGTCATCTTGTTTTATTACGAGAGTTAAGTTCCAGATTAGAATGTTCGTTGAATATTAGATGTTATATTCAAATTTAATTTTAGTAACCATTTAGCATGAATATTTAATAGGAAATACAAAGTAGAGTAGATGTTGTCATTACTTTTATATCGGTGTCTGCATGGAGGAAATAATCCTTACGATATTTCAAATTTTATCTTACAGTTGATTATTGATAAATTCAGGAGATTTAGAAACAATAGTTTTTGCATTAAAGAAAAAATTGTAGTTGCCTGTATGTTAAATTCTGTGAAATATTCACTGATACTTAATACACCCAACTGAATTTTGCATAGTAGGTCTGTATTTTCTAAAGTCTTACTTAATTTTGTAGTATTGCTGCCATTGAGCTGCTGGTATGATGCAAAACTTATTACTGTTCATTCACTATATGGAATTTGAAAGGTTAAATATTCTTCCCAGGCAAAATGGTACTATAGCCTTTCCACTACACAGAATCTGTGCATTAGTCACAGCATTTTATAGTTTTAGTTGGACAGCAGCAGCAAAATATCCTTACTGTGAAATTAAATCAAGGAATTCATAAAATGCTTGCATCAGAACCTACAGTTTTTTTAAATATAAGACCTACATGTAATTCTTAAAATTTCAATACTTGTAAACCAGTCACAAGCAGTTTTAATGTGATAATTTTTATAATCTCTTAAGTATCGTATTTAATATGAACAGTCCTGCAATAATTTATGCTCATATATATTTTATCTTAAAGTATAGATTGTCACGTAATTTAAAGAACAATTTTTTGTTCTGATATTAGCAGTTAGCTTGTTAGATATATACATGGGCAAAATTTTCAAGGTTCGTACTAGGAAGCATATCATTGAAGTTTATTTTGGTGTATATCTGTTTCTTTATAAGTAGAAAAATTATCAAAGAATGCAGATGCATGATTGTAAAGTGTTGGATATATATATATATATTGATGTGAGTTTGTCAAAAAAATATAATTGTGATGAAAAGAATGAAGTATTTAAATAACTTTTATACTGAAATTGAGACATGTACTCCCTGAAATATTGTTTTCATAGTAGCAATGCTTTAATCTGATCCACTTGCATGAAATATACACTATTTTTAACTGCTTCATATTGCATAGACAGTTCTTACTTGACATAAGAATTTTATCACATTAATGGTATTTTTTTATATATTTATAACAAAACTTTCAGTTATATTTTAGTTACATATTTATTATGTTTGCATTGCATGATTGATGATTCAGATGTGTTTGGGTCAGAATATGAGTCTCAATTTCATTGTAATTATTGCATTGAACAGATATTAGAAGTTGTTCCTGAGTGTTAACATGTTTAATTTTATTCTGCAATCAGCATGCAGTAATTAAAAATGCCTTGAACCACATACATTATTCACCATACAATGAAAAATCTATGCTGGATCTTAACCATGAATAGATATACACTTACAGAATTCTCTATTACAATTATCAATTTCAGTTTTCGAGGGCTGAAACAAGGTAGGTTATATTATGAAGTGAAGCATGTCATATACATGGCAATTGTAAAGAATTCTGGAAGAATGTTAAAGAAAGTTACTTAAAGTTAGTTATTTATTCCTGCACATTATATATGTCAGTTTATAAAGCACATAACAAGTAATTAGAAAGTGTTTTAATAACAAAATATGTCCTTGGGTAATTGAAGTTGATGTAAGAAATTTAATGTTAAAATGAAACAGTTCAGAATATGATAACGTCTTTATGAAATTAATATTATACCAAGAATACTTACATGAAAATTATAAATATTATTATTACTAGACATATGACTTAAACGTTTTACTTAACAATGCATGTATTCTGTTGATCGTTACAAACCAAGAATAAATATCAGAAAATATTCTTATACTTTCTGAATTATACTTAATATTTTACTGTCTTTATTATCGTCAATGTTTTTCAATGTGCAACAAACATTTTCCAAAAAGTCACACTATGAACACAAGCAAAAATTATTGTATTTAAGTGCATTTCTTCCAGAATCCTTGAGTGACATATAAAATATTTTTCGTGTGTTCTTGCTGTTTTTTTTTAAAAAAAATTATGGAAGAAAAAAGGAAATTCTATTCCTGGTGAGGTCCTGTTCTAATTTTATTCAATGTTATTCTATCTATCTACCATTCTAGTTATTTACAACACCAATAATTACAAATTTTAATATCAGAAAAATACAATAAGAGGAATGTATAAAATACAGAGAAAATTATTCTGTTTTGGTATATTTTAAACAGTTTTTGTGGCCAGACTTTTCATTTTGCATTTTAAAGGAAAGCTCAAGATGAATTTTCTGCAGCAATGCTAACTCTGCCAGTTGGTGTAACAACAAACGTGCTATCATGTCCATCTTCATTAAAATACATGAAATCTTTATGAATTAAGACCTCTTTTAATATAATGTACCCTTTTTTTCCAGCCAGAGTCTACCATGATATCCATCAATTTCTTTCGTTTATTCCGAGTTATGCGTTTAGTGAAACTTCTGAGTAGAGGTGAAGGCATTCGCACTTTACTTTGGACGTTTATCAAATCGTTCCAAGCGCTGCCGTATGTTGCCCTTCTCATCGTCATGCTGTTCTTCATCTACGCTGTCATTGGAATGCAGGTAAACCTCAATATGCAACAAGATTAATGAATTTCCTTGTAATATTTAGTTCCTCTGTTGTGAATTACTAACTTTTACTTTCTTTATTTTATCTACTAATTTTAATATTAAATTAACAATTCAATTTGTGTAGCCAACAATTATACACTAGCTTTGAAATTCTAAGTGACATGAAACTAATGGGTTAATGTGTATTTGCATTTACTGGAAAGTATTTGATGTTGGAGAGAATAAATTTAAATAGAACTTCTGCTTACATAATTTTAACTATAGTTACATTATAGAAGATGTAGGAACAATGTTAAACATGAATTACATTGATGTGTAGATCACTAAAAACAAAATATTGACATCTTTGATATTAATAATGTGCATCCTTCGCCCTTGGTTGTTGGATGTTAGTGCTGACACAATATGACTTCAGGCTTGCCGCACTTTGCCTGTGAAGTCCAGATGATTTGGTCCTTGTACATTTTTCTTTTGTTTTTGTTTTTTGGTATTCTACATGTCCGTCATTCATGCCTGCCATTTTTTCTGTGCTGTATATATGTGTGGTTTTTCTTGTGTGTAGAGCTATGTGTTCGTGTTCTAAGTATTTTAGCATCAATGTGTGAGGTAATGAATACATAGAGGCACTCAGTTAAGTATGTGTTATGTTTTAGATGTTTGGAAAAATAGCACTGAATTCAGAAACAGCCATTCATCGCAATAACAACTTCCAGACTTTTCCCCAGGCAGTCTTAGTTTTATTTCGTTCAGCAACTGGTAAGTAAATTGGATATAGAAATTTTCAAACATATTGTAGAATTATAGATATGTTTAATTAATCATTGTTCAAACTTTAATTTGTTAATTTGTTAGTAGCAGTTGCAGTTTGAGAACTATTTTTCTAAAAATAATTGTTTCTGACCTTGCACTCTGTCATATTGATATATATTTAGTTCTCTAATAATATTACTTTCTAAAGAAAAACCATTCAGTTGTATTCGATCCTTCAGGTAGGTCAGCGGAGATTTTCTGTTTTTGTTACTTAGGTGAAGCCTGGCAAGATATCATGCTGGACTCTTCTGCACGTGAAGAGGTTAAATGCGATCCCAAGTCTGATGAGACAAGCAAATCTACCTGTGGTTCTGACTTGGCCTTCCCATATTTCATCTCGTTCTATGTACTGTGCTCATTCCTTGTAAGTTTAATATAAATACGGAAATAAAACTGAAGAATGTGCTTTCAAAAATTGCTCCCTCCATTAATTGCTGTTTTTGTTAATTTGTCAAATCCTGCTTCAAGAGAAAGATCTTTTCCCAGAACATAATGAAATGGAGTGAACAAGTTTTGAATCTACACTTAACCAAATGTAATATTTTTAATACACACATCCATGTTACTGTTGCGTTCCATGTAATTATCTACGTAATTCCTGAAGACAATGTTAAGTTTGAATTGAACATTTGGTTATGCTTGTACTAATTCTGTTGGTTTTTAATTGAAGTTGAACTTCCAATGAGACATTTTGTTAAAAATGTTAAAATATTGATTTTGTGTTGGACTGGTTGAATTGGTTTACTTATAATCTGTGTGTAGTAGTATGTTCCTCATGAATGCCATAAAATTATGTATATTTTTATTCTTATAGATCATTAACCTGTTTGTTGCTGTTATCATGGATAACTTTGATTATTTGACAAGAGATTGGTCAATTCTGGGTCCCCATCACCTGGATGAATTTATTCGACTCTGGAGTGAATATGATCCTGACGCTAAGGGACGCATCAAACACTTGGATGTCGTAACTCTTCTCAGGAAAATATCACCGCCTCTTGGTTTCGGCAAGCTCTGCCCCCACCGCGTTGCTTGCAAGGCACGTTGCACTTAAGTCATTTTGTTTCATGTTGACCCAGTATTTGCTTAATGGGATTAAACTTGGAGCTTTTAAATGAAGATGATTCATAAAAGATATAAGTATTGCATTATAGAGGTTATGTTTGTTAAATTCATAGATTATATAATATCAAATCAAGAAACAACAGGGTGACAGTGAATGATGAATAACTGGAATAAGTGATGATTATGGTCTGTTTATACAGGGTGATTCAAAAGGGTAGAGCCAAACTGAAGGAGCGTATAGAGGGACTCAGACAGGACAACTTTCGAATAGGAATCCATGTCCTCCGAAGTTATCCTGAGTCAGTCGAGGCCATTGAAGGTAGGGAAGTCTGATAACATACCGCTGAAGTAATTTGGTTTGTAAGATTGTTAATGTAATCCTTGTACATTAATAAAAAAACAAACTTAAGCTAGTAGGAGAATAGCAAAGTGTAATTATTTCAGCGGTATGTTATCAGACTTCCCTACTTTCAATGACCTCGACTGACTCAGGATAACGTCAGAGGACATGGATTCCTATTCGAAAGTTGTTCTCTCTGAGTCCCTTCAGTTTGGCCCTAACTTTTGAATCACCCTGTAGATTATGCAAATAATTATTAAAATTAACATAAAATGATTTTGTCATTGCAGAGGTTGGTATCAATGAATATGCCATTGAATAGTGATGGGACTGTTTTATTCAATGCAACATTATTTGCTGTTGTTCGGACATCTTTACGAATCAAGACAGAAGGAAATATTGATGATGCGAATGCAGAACTAAGAGCAGTCATTAAGAAGATTTGGAAGAGAACGAGTCCCAAACTCCTGGATCAAGTAGTCCCACCACC